CATCCTGCGCTTCCTTTATCCAACGGCCCAGCATGTTGGGGTTGATGTCCAAACTCCGAGCTGCCTGCGCTCGGCTGTAGCCCTGCTCGGTCACCAGACTGACCGCATCAAGCTTGAACTCCTGCGAATACTTTTTGCGTGCTGCCATTGATCCTGTCCTCGGTTAGCTGCATTATCGCTTAACCTCGTGTACCAAATCATTGGACCACGTCAAAGGCCCCGTTATGAGTCAGGATGCTAGCCAATACACTGTTCTGTCGAGAACGAAGTTCTCGCTATTATCAAAGGCATATGCCAGTAGCTTGCTCGCTGTCACGTTAAGCGCATGTGGAGGTAACTTCCACTCGATCCATAATGATTTTTTGACTGAAGGAAACCGAGGCTTAAGCATCGACGCTAAGCAGCGGGTTGTCTACACAGTTAAGAAAGACTTCGGCAATGGAAAAGAATGGACAGCGATATGCGCTGAGCCAAGTCCCGACGCACTCAGTGCGATCAGTGCGTCGGGAAGCCTAAGCGCAGAGACGGTGGGTAAAGCCCTTAAGGCTACCGCTGGGTCACAAGAGAGTGCGGCCAGTATTGGCCTGCGCACTCAGACCATTCAAATCCTTCGCGATGGGATGTACAGACTGTGCGAAGGATACGCATCAGGCGCCCTGGACAATATCGCCTACAGGGGTGCCCAAAGACGCTACCAGGACGTTATGCTTGCCTTGCTTGCCATTGAACAGCTAACAGGCACCGTCGTTGCGAAACAAGCGGCTATCAGTAGTACTGCTACCAGCGCAGCTGAGCAAGGCATTGCTGGCATCAAGGAGTGGATCGATAGCGCGAATAAAGAGCTCCTTGCCATCAACAAGGAGCTTGCTGAACTAGAGGCTAGCAAGAAAACCGCCGAGGAGGCTCTAGCAGTCGCTCAGAACAAGCACAAGGCACTCGAAGAGGCCGGTAAAACGGATCCTGCGAAGAAGACGGAGGCTGATGCGTTTAAGGGCGGAGAATTGGCTACGGCGCAGGCGGCAGTAGTGAGTGCATCGACAGCCCGTGAAACGGCTACCCAAAAGAAAGCTGAGATCACGGTCGGTATTGATAGGTTGATAGAGGCACAGAAGGCGGCCAGCCGAGCTGCGTCAACGCAGGTTGGTCGCGCCAGGCTAACGGGAGGGTCTACAGGCTCAACGATCGACAAAGATACGGCTGAGGTTATCGCTAAGTCCGTTGAGGCTATCGTCACATCGACCCAATCTCGGGGTTACGGCAAGGAGTTCTGTATCGAAGTCCTGGGCGATATAGCTCGTGAAAACATCAGTTTTCGAGAAGCGTCCCTTAAGGACGCGCTAGATGTCGCCGCAAAGCAATCAGCATTGCTCGCAAGAGCTAGGTCGGTGGACGCTGCTGAGACGCCTGAACAGATTAAGCAAAGACGACTAGATGAACAAGAGAAAAGTAGAGTTGAACGGGTAAAAGCAGAAACTCAACAACAGTTGCTTGGCCTTCTTAACAAATACTGCTCAGGTGAGTTGGCACTCAAGTAAAAAGGATAGATGACCCGTGAGGGCATTGTCACTTTATTCAGAGAGTGGCATTGTTGGATGATGAAGAAAGCCAATCAATACGCCAATCATCGTTTTTCGCCTGAAGTCATTGAAACAGCCGTTTGGTTGTATCACCGATTTTCTTTAAGTTTTCGAGGTGTCGAGGATCTGATGGCTCATCGAGGCGTGATCGTCTCCTACGAAACAGTCCGTCGATGGTGTATGAAGTTCGGGCCCGCTATCAACGCGCACTGAAGCGGCGCGAAGCCAAGGGTTCTGATCGGTGGTACGTTGATGAGACTTTTTTGAAGATCAATGGAGAGTACCTATAACTGTGGCGTGCTATGGACCAGGACGGAGATGTACTTGATGTCCTCGTCCAGCGTCGTCGCAATCGCGTGGCAGCAGAGCGCTTCTTACGCAAGATTCTACAAAGACAGGGCAGCGCTCCTCGAATCGTAGTGACGGAGGGGCTTAGCAGTTACCCAGCGGCGATTCGAACAGTGCTACCCGAAGCAGAACACGATACGCGGTGTTATGCCAATAATCGTGCGGAGAATTCGCATCAGGCAACTCGAAGAAAGGAACGGTAAATGCAGCGGTTTAAATCGGCAGCGCAAGCGCAAAGTTTCCTGTCTTTGCATGCGAGAGTGCACAATTTGTTTTGCTATGATCGCCATTTATTGAAGGCGGACAACCATCGCTTGCTACGTCAAAGAGCGCTCTCCACGTGGTTAGAGATTGCGTGTGTTTAATGGACGCGGAGCATCTGGTTTTATATGCTCAGCTGAAACAACGTGACAAAGCCACATTGGACAGTTCAGGTGCTGACTCAAGGAGTGTGAAATGAAACTTGTCTTTGGTGGTGTCATCGCCGGGGTGTTGCTAGCGCTATATTCCTACGCTGTCATCTTTGCGATACAGGTTGCAGGCTGTATCTCAGTGGTCGAGTGTAGTGTCTACACTATAGAGTCGTTTAACGATGGATTTGCAACCAGCATGTCCACCATCGGGGGATTAGTGTCTGCACTGGTGATAGCGGAGCTCGCCGTGACTCAACCAGGTAACGCGCCTGTCGCCCGCGCGATCAATGCGCAATCCACAGCAATCAAGGCAACTATCCTCAACGTCGTTACCGCAGCTTACTTGCTTGTTTGGATTTGTGTAGGCTTAGCCGCCTATGTGGTTGGAGTCATGTGGTATCCAAATACTGTTGTACCGCTGACCGATTTTGGACAAGCTTGGCTAGGGCTAGCCGTCGCCGCCGGATACGCCTATTTTGGGATCCAGCCTTAACTTGCAACGCGACTGCCTTTAGGGCAGTGGAGATCCATCGCATGAGTTGGAGTCGACCCGTTCCTGACTATTCGTCCGACATACGGCTGGGGATTGTGATGTATGGTGGCGTTTCGCTAGCCGTCTATATCAACGGAGTAGCCGGAGAACTTTTCAACTTAACCTGCTCCACCCCAGCCGAATCGGTGCAACTTGAAACTGACAGTGAACCACAGACTCGTCCCATCTACCGAATCCTGTCTTGGTTAGCGGGCAGCGATTTACTCAGGAATCGCTTCCTCTCATTCTACAAAGCCTTTCCAGATTCAGATAACTATCAGGCCCCATCAGAAAAACTAATCGAAGCCTGGGAAACGTTTGTTAGCGATTCGCAGACTCAAAAGCTTCTCTCTTCAAGGCCCCCCGTTCGGTTCGTTGTCGACGTCATCTCCGGCACATCTGCTGGTGGCCTGAACGGCTTATGCCTGGCTAAAGCCATCGCAAATGGCGAAGATTTCGGTGCCTTGTCAGAACTATGGATTAAGGAAGCGGATCTTTCAATTCTGCTGAACGACAACAAGAGTTTTGAAGGCCTAAGAGGCCAGTCGCGTAAGGGCGAGACGCCAACCTCACTTCTCAATAGCGATCGGCTTTACGAAAAACTGTTTGACGTGCTCAAGAGCATGAAGAAGCTCGATTTCGTCGGAGGAACTGATGCCAGCATCAGCCCCCTAAGTGATGGGGTCGATCTATCCGTTACCACGACCGATATTGAAGGCGTGCCGGTGCCCTTGCGGTTGTTCGATAGGGTGGTAAACGAACGCCGACATCGAGTCCGATTCCGATTTCGGGCTATGCCGGGCGATTCAGAGCAAAACAACGCGTTCGCCGCTCAAAATTTGCCCCTAATGGCTTTTGTGGGCAGAAGCACTTCGTCTTTCCCGGTCGCTTTTGAACCGATGAGGCTGGATGATCTCTCTCGGCTAGAGAACATACCGTCCGAATCGCTCAAGCAATGGAATGCATATTTCGATAGTTTTCCTGCGAAGCTGGTCGAAGATGGCGAGCATATCGAGCGTAGCTTTGGCGATGGTGGGTATCTAGACAACAAGCCCTTTAGCTACGTGGTTCAAGCGCTGTCCGAAATCGAAACAGCCAGAGCAGGGCGGCGTCAGCTAATCTACATTGAACCTTCTCCAAAGCAAATCGATCAGAAAGCATCGGATTACGAAAGACCCGATGCCATCGAAAATTCTGTCGCCGCTCTTTTACAAATTCCTCGTTATGAAACCATACGAGAGGATCTCAATACCGTCATTGCTCGTAATCGCATGATTGAGCGAATCGAGCATCTCGTCCGATTGGGTGAGGGCGATATAAAGCGCAATCCGGCTGCATTCGATAACATCGAAAGCCCGGATGGCACGATACCAAATTGGAATGCTATCGGCCTTTCCCAGATGATCGCCTACTACGGCATCTCGTTTTTGCCCTATCGACGATTAAGGGTCTACGCCGTCACCGATGAGCTTGCCCGTCGACTGGGCAGCGCATTAGGATTGGACGTTGACTCTGATCATTTTCAATCGATTCGTGCTGTTGTACGAGCATGGCGCGATCGACACTACGGCGAAGAAGTAGGCGACAGACCCAAGACCCAGAACGCCTTTCTTGGCGAATTCGATATTGATTACCGATACCGACGTCTAGGTTTCCTCAGTCGGCGGGTAGCTGAGCTCATTCGTACCCTTCTCCTACTGGCAGACCTGCAAGAGGCGGATCGATTCGCGACTGATCCGAGCCTGCCAGACTCAGTTCAGGAAGATCTTGAGCGGTTTCGCAAAGCGACTGGCATTGAATTAGCTTCAGTCGATGAACTGCAAAAAACACTGCAGATCCTACGCATCATCTACCGGGAAATGACGAGGGCTCGTCGGCATCTTATTCAGGGATCACGACAGTCTGTTGATCTAGGCGACGCTAGCGCGTCAGCCTTACGAGCCGAAGCTAAGTTCTTGGCCGACTATTTGCTACTAGGGGCTATTGACCCCACCAAGCCATCTGGATCGCTGGGTACTATGCCAGAGCGAATGGCTGGCCCAGCCTCTAGGTGGATTGAGCAAGGCGAACCAGGCGGGTGTGAAACCCTTCACGGTCGGCTAGACAGTTATCTTGACTCACTGCGCTATAGAAGCCTCGTCTCAACGGAGGACCGAAGCCTTGTTTTTTCCTTGCTCGGACGGCCCAAGCTTAGTCGAACAGTCGATGCCGACAACAAGCCTGTCACGTTCATAAATGTGCGCGATGCTGAACTACTCAATGGTGAACCACACGAAGCGCAACAACTCAATTCAGCAATCGGCCTAAAACTCCGTCGATTCCTATCCGACTACCACGTTAGATTTGATTCATATGACCAAATGGGGTTTCCACTGCAGCACCGGACAATTGCAGGTGATACCGCTGCTGTCGATCTTGTCAGAATCAGTCCCTCAGACGCAACGGCGCTGGTTAACGAGGCGGGCAAGTCAGCATCAGGCAAAAAACTAGCTGGTACTGCTCTTGGAAACTTTGGGGCCTTCCTGGATAGACGTTGGCGAACCAACGATCTTATGTGGGGCCGGCTCGATGGGGCAGAACGCCTTATCCACTCAACGCTTAGCGGTGATGACGCATCCTCTCAAGCATTACGCAAAATCCTGACATCGGCTGCTCACGAAGCAATATTGGATGAGTCATTCGGTCAAGACGGTCGGGTAGAACTGATCCGAGCATTCACGGAAGCGACGGCAGAGCTACCGTTTGCTCAATCAGAAGCGATAAAGGACCCCCTATCGGCCCTTCGGTCAGTTTTAGATGAACTGAAGATCAATGATGATGCTTCACGGCAGCGATTGACCGCCGTCCTATCCTCCTTTTTGAGCCCAAGCAGCCTAGTGGACTACTTGCAGCATAACTACGCAAAACCGCAGACGCCTGATCGAGAGAGCACGTTTTCTAACCTGGCGCGAGGCGTTTCCATTTTTGGTCGAGTACTGGGTGGCATTAGTGAGCGGCAAGAAAAGCGGTCCGGTGTTGCAAGTGCATCCGCTTGGATTGCGCGGCTTGGACTGATCCTTCAAGGGTTTGTCGCCATATCGCTGCCCGGTAGTCTTCGTCAAAAATGGGCGCGCTCAGTATTTCAATCGATCTATATTATTGGGGGTTTCGTTTTTCTATCGGCCCTAGTGTTGGGAAAGCCGGATGTAGTCTCAGTGGCCATAACGGCACTGATCTTGACCGGCGCAACACAAGTCATCACGCTCCTAGCTTCTGATGCGATGCGTGACAAACTGTCACTGGCAAAATCTACCAGCTTAAAAGTCCTCGTAGCGATATTGGGTGGGGCGATTCTATTGGCGTTATTCACCGGCGTTAGCGCCATCATTCACGATGGCGTGTTCGGTATCTTCTGTGATTACATCACCTGTGAGATTTCTTAGACAGTTGTTTGTCATCACTTTAAGATTAGGACTAGACGAATTGAATGGCCTGAGACCTCGTTCTATACCTTATTATCGTCGCCAGAAAAGCAATCGATTGCCCGTGGTGGTTTTGAGCTGAGGCAATGCCGGTAACAGGAAACGGTCGGAGATAGTGAGTAACGATCGAACCGAATGTTTCCCGTAGAGGCAGATCATCCAAAAGGTCGTTGTTAGGAAATAGGGTTGGAGCGTCGTGTTGCTTCTCACCGGCCGGTGCTAGCAGAGCGTGTGCCAAGCAACATGACACCGACAGAATGATTCAGCACGCCAAAGGGTGACGCGATAACTTTGGCGTTTACAGTCTGTCGATGACAGATGGATTTCGATGTCAAAAATGCTAGTTGCGTCCTGACAACTGCTGAAGCCATGACCTGTCATCTGTCGGGCCGCCGCTTAGCTGTAGCTAAGCGACCACCCGTGGCCATTGATAGGTGATAATCACGTATGCGACCAGCATCTCTGGGCGATAACCAATCCGATACCGCTACAATATGACTTCCTCTCCCACCACATGACGTAGCCACCAGTCGTCTACAGAAACGCGTGAGCCATTCCGATCCAAAATGGTGAGTGTTGGCGCACTCTCAGCTTGGCCCGATACCCGAATAAGATCGCCGTCGAAGCTCCTAAATGTCATCTCCACGGGATCGCCATAGGTCGGTGCTTGCTCCAATAGGATGCCAACAGCAACTCGTTCGCCCATTCGTAGTGAATCGTAATAGTCAGAGTAATAGTGCACTCCCGCCATATTGCGACCGATCGAAATATTGGCCGCCAGTTTGTCGAGCTCACCCTGGATAGTTAATGGCTCTTTAGTCTTGGCGTCCTTCATGAGCTTGGTGCCGTCGCTGGTGGGGACGAAGGCGATCGGCATTCCTTTCGAATCACACAACTCCCGTTCTTTGCCGGCATCACAGTCTTCGAACATCTCAAAGAAGGCCTTTAGGATCGTCACGCACCCGCCTGCCACCGTGGCATGCCCCGCACCGTAGGCTGGATGCATGGGCGAGCCTTCTGGGAAAGCCATAGGCAGCAGCAAATTGCACTTGGGATCGTAGCCCTCAAAAGCGTGCAGATCGTTGCAAGTCAGACCGCATTTGGCTCGCATCTCAACCATATCGGGACGGTTTTGCGACTCGTTGTGCTCAATAATTGCCTGACGGATATCTGCGGGTATGTCGCAAAGCATCTGCCAAAAGTCAGACTCAGCGCAACCAAGCTTGCCCCCCTGCTTACATTCGGCTAGCGTTAGGCGCGCCCCCATGACTTCAGGTCTAGCACGACGGTGGTAGTTGAACTTCTGACGCCTCACTGCCTTTAAGCACCGGGTAGCCACCTCCGTCACCAGCGACAAGATATGCGGCCCTCCAAACGTCGCAAAGGGTGTCCGACGCCCTGATGGACTCCGTTCAGGAAATCCTTTCGAGGGTGGCGACTCCATGGCTATCAGGATTAAAGCTGCATTGAGATACGCTTCATAAAGGGCATCAAAGTGAACGTAAGTGGCTAAATCTCGCGGTGTTGTGATAAACCTTCGCTCGGGCTCCCAGCAGTCAGTTTTCGCTAGGTTGGCCCCATTTTGGACATCCAGCCAATGAGCCCAGTTGGTCATGTGATCCAAGCACCCCTTATGGGAGATCGTTCTTTGGTCGATGATCAGTGAGCCGTAAGGAATAAAGCCATCATTCAAGTCAAACGCTGCTTCCTTTGCGGGAAAGTTCGACTGGCCGTTGCCATCGCCAGCAATAGAGCGCGCTCCGATCAACATAAACTGCGAAATATACGGGCCAACCAGAGCACCGGGTGTCGATCCACGAAAAAGTGTTTGCGCACTTAGTGGTGCAACATACGGTGCGGTATCTTCCTGCGTGCGTGCAAATCGACGGTTGCGCTCGTATTGATTTAGCCCGCTCTCGTCCGTATAAAGCGGTGTTGAGGAAATCACCTTCTTGCCGTTAAAGAACGACATCGAGTTGAGCAGGTTCGCTATTTCTGTACCCGAGAATGCCGCATCGCCATCTTTTTCACAAAACTTCTCTTTGCTTTTGCCAGCGCAGATATCCTTAAACGGCACATCGCGCAGCAATGCCATCGCATACACTTCTGCCATCTCTGCCGACAATTCCGATGATCCCACCCGCGGTGCGGGTGCCATCCCCAAAGAGCCAGCATCTGGGCCCTGTAATTCGTAGACATGCCCAGCGCGCGGACTTTCCCAGCCCCGCCACTTTGGTTTCGCTCCCTTTACTCTGCATTTAAATGCCACCTCTCGATCTTCTGCGCTCTTTACATGGCTATCAAATAGGCCTGGAGCAGGGGAATTAATCGCCTCGACAAAGACACGGTAGTCCTCAGCTTGAGCAACCAGACCAAAGTTGTTATGGGCTAACCCTTTCGTAAAGTTCGTGGGATAGCAGGCTGATGCAAAGTCGGCCTCTTCCCCGTTACTTTCTGAGGCTGCGTGTGCACGATGTCGAGCAATGTCTGTACACAAATCTCGCAGTGATTTGGCAGAGTTTGCGCGATGTGTCCCAGCCGGGGATGGAATATCATGGGGTAGTTTCACTGTCTTCTCCTAACAAGCAGCTAAATGCATTCTTGTGCCGTGGCAATCGATGGGGGCATCTTGCCTTGGCTTGGCCATTGAATTGAC